CGTCATATCAGGAACCTCTCCCCCCTGAACCGCCATCACGCACCAACTTCCCGCGTGCTTAACGCCAAGCAACCGCTCCGCTCGCTGATTGGCTTCTGTCAGGGCTCAATAACATGCCACCCTTTTTTCGAGAAACAATCAAATTCGTTTAAATTGTTTCCTCCAAACATATACGTTTTAATTTTGCAGCCGCGATTTGTTTTATATTTCTCCCCACTCCTCCCCTCCGGAAAGTTGAGGGCTTTACCCACAATCCTCCTTTTCCCTCGCGCCATCTTAACTGTCGACATGAAGTGAGTTTAATCGCTAATTTAATCCTCTTTCATCCGCTGTTTTTGCCCGTAAAATCATTCTATCCGCGGTTAAATTATGAAGCTCCTTAATGAAAGCGACTGTGATGACTGGTTATTTGTTTCCTCAGGGTCGAACTGTGTAGTTTTAGTGGGTATAAGATATACCCGGGTCACGGGAAGCGCTATGCCAGGATTGATGGGAAGGTAAGCACAAGGAAAATTCTAAAGTGGTGCAGTGCTCTCGAACTTCCTCTTAAATATGTGAATTCACCCAGATCAAATAGGGCACCGTGTGTTAATGTGTTGAACATGTGCACTGAAATCGCGTATCTTGGGATTCATTGCGTCGAAACGTGAATTGACAAGGCCAACATCCTTTTGTAGCGATAACAAGGTGTAGAGCTGGATGAACACAGCAGGCTAAGCAGCATCAGAGGAGCAGGAAAGCTGACGTTTCGAGTCTGGACTGCTTGGCCTGCGGTGTTCATCCAGTTCTACACCTTGTTATTTCAGATTCTCCAGCATCGGCAGTTCCTACTACCTCTGAATCCTTTTGTAGATCTGTTTGTTAGGAATCTGTACAGCTCGATCTTGCCAAGCCTTGTCACTTGTTTCTTTTTGATAGTAACATTCAGCCTAAATTTTTATTTTTAAATCAAGTAGAGTGTAGACCAATTGAGCCTATTTTTGTACTGATGCAGTACAATTTTATGCAGTAGTAGATCATTAGACTTCCTTAAAGTGAAGTTTGAGTTCAGTATTCAGCTTCTAGCTTAATGAATATGGTAAATTATTTAAACAACTTCTTCATACTTTTAAAAAAAAAAAAAAAAATTGAAATTCTCAGATTTGGGACTGTTGTATGGATGTGTTTTAACACTAGATCTGTCATGCCCTGTGCTTGCACGGTAATAGTTGAAACCTTCATGAAGCTAAGGTGCAAAACTTAATTGCATGTCATGTTAATGTTTTGTTTGCTATTTAAGTGTCAAATAAGGGACATAAGGTTTCTAGATAACTTAGTTACACCTAGGTTGACTGAGAATATCTTTCTAAGAACAGTTAGATGTTGCTGATTTAGTCTGTCAGGACCTTTTGCTATGTTGGATGGAGATTTTGTTTGTATTGATAGAGAGTAAGGGATCTGGTTACTTGCCAATTAAAGACACCAGCTATAGTAGTATAAAGCTATCGTAGAGTGAAAAATCCTAGACAAAAACAGAAATTGCTGGCAAAACTCCCCAGTATCTGGGGAGAAAACAGAGTTTACATTTTGAGTCCAGTGACTTTTCATCATAACTAGACTCAAAATATTAACTCTGCTTTCTTCTCACAGATGTTGCCAGATATGCTGTCTTTCAGCAGCAATTTGTTTTTGTTTCAGACCTCCAGCATCAGTATTTCTTTGTTTTATTTTAGTGAAAAATCCTAGGCTTGAAGACTTGCACTTTCACTACTTTAGAATGTTTCAGGTAATTTTGCGACCACAGTTGTGGTCACTGTGTAATGCTGGAACTTTTGACGCCAATGAGCAACTTGTATTTATAGCACCTTGAATGTATTAAAAACATCCCACAGAAGCATTATAAAAATTTATAGCCATGTCACTTTGGCAGATGACTGAAAGTTTAGCCAAATGTAGGATTTAAGGAGCCTCTTTAAAGGAAAGGTGAATAAATTGGTTGGAGGTGCTTGGTGAGTTAATACCAGAGCGTTCGGCTGAGGCAATTGAATAAGGATGGGGGGTACTCGACTAGTAGTATTTTGTTGCAAGTCTCTTGTAGAGTTGGAGGTAATTGTAGAGGTATGGAAGGAGTTAATACAAAAGTGAGCACTTTTAAAACAAGTGTTGCATAGAAATGATGGGTAAATGGTGTTTTGAAAGTTGGCAATGTTTTGAACAATCAGGTCCATGAAATATAGAATTTCATTTGAAAGATGAAACAGTACTTGAAAGAGTCTGTCACTCTTGACTCCTGTGTTCAGGTCATTGGGTGGGGTTTAAAATCATAACATGCTGATTTGAGGTGAAAATGGAACATGTTCTGTAATGACTGACATTTTCATCTCAGTTCTGTGCTCTTAGCTTGGACAATTGATGACAACATCCAGGCTAGAAAGTGAAATATTTTGTGGTGCCAGGCATAGAAACAGAAAATATGAACCAGGAAGACTATTTGGCTTCTCAGCTTGCGCCTTCATTTGGTGTGACCACAGTTGATCATCCTGCTCAGTACTCTGTTCCTATTTTCTTCCCATACCCTTTGATTCCCTTTAGCCACAAGAACTATATCAAACATCTTCTTGAAAATAGTCTTAGAGATGTACAGCATGGAAAGAGTCCCTTTGATCTAACTCGTCCATACCAACCATATTATATCCAATATAAATCTAGTCCCATTTGCCAGATTTTGGCCCATATCCCTCCTAAGCCTTCCTATTCATATACCCCTCCAGATGCCTTTTAAATGGTGTAATCGTACCAGCCTCCATCACTTCCTCATTCCGTATATGCAGCACCACCTCCATGAAAAAGTTGGTCCCTTTGGTCCCTTTCAAATCTTTCCCCTCTCACCTTAAACCTATGCCCTCTATTTTTGAACTCCCCCACCCTGGGGAAAAGACCTTACCTATTTACTTTATCCATGCCCCTCATGATTTTATAAACCCTCAGTCTCCGATGGTCCAAGGAAAATAGCCCCAGCCTATTCAGCTTCCTACTATAGCTGAAACCCTCAAACCCTGGCAATATCCTTATAAAACTTTTCTGAACCCTTTCAAGATTTACCACATCCATCCTATGGCAAGCAGACCAGAACTGCACACAGTATTCCAAAAGTGGCCAAACCAATGTTGTTCTGATGGAAGGTCTAGGCCCGAATCGTCAGCCTTCCTGCTCCTATGATGCTGCTTGGCCTGCTGTGTTCATCCAGCTCTACACCTTGTTATCTCAGACTCTCCAGCATCTGCAGTTCCTACTATCTCTCCCAAACCAATGTCCTGTACCGCTGCAACATAACCTCCCAAATCCTATACTCAATGCACTGACCAATAAGGGCAAGCACACCAAATGCATTTACTATCCTATCTACCTGGGACTCTACTTTCAAGGAACTAGGAACCTGCACTCCAAGGTCTCTTTCTTAAGAAACATTCCCCAGGACCTTACCATTAAGTGTGTGAGTCCTGCCCTGATTTGCATTTCTAAAATTTGGTACCTCCTAATTATCTAAATTAAACTCCATCTGCCACTCCTCAGCCCATTAGCCCATCTAATCAAGACACCATTGTACTTTGACATAACCTTTTTCACTGTCTACTACTGCCCCAATTTTTGGTGTCATCAGCAAGCTTACTAACCATACCTCCTTTGTTCACATCCAAATCATTTATAGAAAAATCATCTATCATTTATAGACAAAAAGCAGTACCCCCAGCAGCGATCGTTGTGGCACACTGCTGGTCACAGGCCTCTAGTCTGAAATGCAACCTTCCACCACCACCACACTGTCTTCTACCTTTTGAGTCAGTTCTATATCCAAAAAGCTAGTTCTCCCTCTATTCCACGTGATCTAACTTTGCTCATTGGTCTACCATGAGGAACCTTGTCGAAAGCCTTACTGATGTCCACGTAGATCACATCCAGTGCTCTGCCCTCATCAATCCTCTTTGTTACTTCAAAAAAATCAATCAAGTTAGTGAGACACAATTTCCTACGCATAAAGCCATTGTTTTGGCCTCAACTGCTTTTGTGCCAGAGAAGCCCACAGGCTCACCACTTTTTGGATGAAGAAATTTTTCCACAGATCATTCCTAAATGGCTTGCCCTATAACCTTAGGCTGGTATCCTTCCTGTATTTATCTTGTGTAGTCCTGGTAGAATTTGAGAGATTCTCTTCTCTCCCTGGTTCTTCTAAACTCCAGTGAACATAGATATAATGGACCCAGTCTCTCTTCATTTGTCGGTCCTGCCATCCCACAAATCATTTGGTAAATCTCTGCTGTACTTCTCCATAGCCAGAACATCCATCCTCCCGAGAAGGAGACCAAAACTGCACATGTACTCCAGAAGTGACCTCCCCTGTTGTTATGAAGGCCAGCATAGCATCAGCTACCTTCACTGCTTGCTTTCAGTGACTGGTATACAACCTAGGTCTTGTTGCCTCTCCCCCTTTATCATCTGAATGGCGATAAACTAAGTGGGTGGGAGAGACTTTGGTTATTCACCCCATCCGTGTTCGTATCCAAATGACTAGCTCTCCTTGTGATCTAACTTTGCTAACCAGTCTACCATGCGGAACTTTGTCAAACGCTTTGCTAAAGTTGATATAGTAAATGTCCACCTCCCTGCCTTCATCAATTCTCTTTGTCACTTCAAAAAAACACAATGAAATTAGTGAGACATGCTTTCCCATGCACAACGCTATGTCGACTATCCTGAATCAGTCCTTGCCTATCGAAATGCGTGTAACTCCTGTCCATCAGGATCCCCTCCAACAACTTAGCCATCACTGAAGTCAGGCCCACTGGTCTATGGTTCTGTGGCTTTTCATTACTACCTTTTCTTAAATAATGGTATCACATTAGCCACCCTCCAGTCTTCTCTCTCCTCTTTCCACACCCCACCCTTTGGCTATTGATGATATAGATATCTCGGCAAGGGGCCTGGCGATCGCTTCCTGCAAAGTTCTGGGATACACCTGATCGCATCCCAGGGATCTATCCACCTTTATGTGCTTAAAGATGTCCAGCACCACCACCTCTGTGATGTGGACACTTTAAGATATCACTGTTTGTTTATTTCTCAAAGTTCTCTAGTTTCCATATCCTTCTCCATAGTAAATACTGACATTGAAATTTTCATTTAATATCTCACCCATCTCTGGTTCCACACATAGATGGCCTTGTTGATCTTTAAGGGGCTCTATTTATCCCGAGTTATCCTTTTGCCCTTGATGTATTCTGGAAAACATTCTAGCATATTTGTCAAGCATGATTTCCCTTTTGTAAACCTATGCTCTGCCCAATCCTGTCCCTTTTCTGAATGCTTTGCTAATAAATCTTTTAAGACGGACTCTAAAGTTTTCCTTGCTACTGATGTTGGGCCAACTGTTCTGTAATTCCCTATTTTCTTTCTGGCCCCTTTTTTAAATAGTGGGATTATGCTCACTACCCTCCAATCGATGGGAACTGTTCCAGAGACTCTAGAATCTTGAAAAATGATCACTAGTGCATCCACTATAATGTATCCACTGTTTCTGGAACCACTTCCTGAAGTATTCTGCGGTGTAGATTACCGTGCTCTGTGGAATTATCAGCCTTTAATCCCATAGGTATCCCCAACATCATTTCTGTACTAACACCGGTTTCACTTAGTTCCTCCAGGTCACTAGACTCTCTGTTCCCTGTTGTTTCTGGTAAATTGTGAAGACAGAATTAAAAATATGTATTTAACTGATCTACCATCTCTTTGTTCCCCATTATGACTTGCCCTGTTACTGACTATAAGCTTTTTCTTGTCACATACTCTTAGAAACCTATTATCAGTTTGTACATTCCCATAAGCTTACTCTCATCCTCTATTTTCCTCCCTCTTCTTCAATCCTTTTGTCATCCTTTGCTGAAATCTACACTGCTCCAAATTGTTGGGTCCGTTGCTTATTTTGGCCAATTAATACAGCTGTTCCTTGGATCTGATACCATCCCTAATTTTCCTTTATTAGGTCAGGCCTCCGCCTTTTCCATTTTATTTTTGTCAGACAGAAATGGACGGTTGTTATAGTTCCTCCAAGTAGTCCAATTTTTTGCTATTCCCTGTGCACCATTTCCCAATTATTATAGCCAGACATCATTCATTGAAGTGGTGGAGAGGTTGGCTGAATTGAGTATCAATATCTGGTGTGAAAAAGTTGTATCGCTGTAACTGATTTTCAGACTCCTGCGTAGAATGGACTGCTCAGACTTGTAAAATTTGATCTTGGCAAAAATTGTGAATTTAGGAGGAGGAAAGATTGATTAACAATTTCTACATTTGAGGCTCCAATACATCTGTCCCAAAAAACTTGAGTTACAGTGCAATGTATTTTAAGATTTGTGTTATTTCAACTTCTCTTATTTGAAAAGGCTAACAGCACTGTTGCTGATCCTAGGTAAGGTTAATGTGTTACTGATTTTTTTTTTTGTTTGTTTGTAGGTTTTCCAGTTTCTGAATTCAAAATGCGAGTCAGCATTCCTCTCCAAGAGAAACCCTCGACAGATCAACTGGACTGTCTTGTACAGGCGCAAGCACAAAAAAGGACAATCTGTAAGTGAGAATTCCACATTCTGTATTAAAAAGGGGAGAAGTTTGTGCATGTGAAATACAGTAGGTTGTCAGTTTATCAGCAGTGTTGTACTTGTAGTAAGTATTATTCTGTTGGCTAGGTGGAACTGTGCTGCTTTAAAGCAACGAGGAGGCGAGATAATAGTCTTGTGGTATTATTGCTTGTCTCTTACTCCAGATACCCAGGTAATATTCTAGGAACCTGGGTTTGAATTTCATCGTGGCAAATGGTGGAATTTGAATTCCAAATTGCTGATTTGTTCGAAAAGCCCATCTGGTTCACTAATGTCCTTTAGGGAAAGAAACTGCCATCCTTAACTGGCCTGGTGTATGTGTGACTCTGAACTGCCCCCTGGGGCAGTTCAATGTACAAGCAATAAATGCTGGTCCAGCCAACAGGTTCCTTCATTCCATGAATGATTTATTTTAAAAAAGGACATTCTCAGAAGTGCCATTGCGTCATTGAGTTTCGTTATCTTGGTCAGAGCTTAGAAATTGGAATATACTCATCCGTTTTTAAGCTTCAATTGAAAGATTGCATGTTTCGAAACTTTTGCCTTTAAAAGAACTACTGGATTATAATGATTTTTAGATTTATTCTGTAACAGTGCTGTCTCTGGGTGGATTTGAATAATGATGGAAACTGTTTCATATTGATGGCTTTTTTGGTTGTTGTGTAGTTTGTAAGGACCTGCTGTGACTATTTCTGTAATCCAGTAATTGATAATTCTGTAGAAACGTATATGTAATGAATCTGTATCCTTCAAGAGAAAGGTTGCTGTCTCCTGATAAGCATTTCAGATCAATTACGTGTACTTGGTGTACATTGATTGCAGAGAGAAGTTTCTTTCCTGGTCTTGAGAGATTATGATAAAAGCATTTGAGCCTGATAATTTCATTCCCAAATTAGCATTTTGTGAATATTCTGAAGTGGGTTGACATGAAAAGTAATTCTTAAACGTTTGAAATTACTTCAGTTTGGCTCTGTAGTTACTCAGGCCTACCTTGCCTTTTTTTTTTTGAAACATTTCCAAAGAGGAGTTGCTGACAAAATGAAGTTAACAAACATGTAATCCAAAGCTGTTACAATTTCCCACATCTGTGGTATTGTCTTGCTGATATTTTCCCAAGATTAAGAGAATCAGCAACCTTGTTTAACATGCTTTTGAGTTGACATTTTGCCATGGTGTTTCCTTTCAAAGAGGTATTCATCCATCAGATTATTTCCTCAAATCATACTTGGCTTTTATTTCTGGGTATTTACATCTCAGAATTGTTTTAGGTGGGTACTCGGACTAATTTTGAAACTGGAGTTATGGCATTGCAGTGCCTGGAACATAATCATCTAATACCTTGACTAAAATCTTGTGGTCTTGGAAATGTGTTTTTACAGTCATTTGATCTGAACAAAAGTTTGCTTTTTATTCAAATTGTTTCCAAAAAAAATTACAAGTCTCTCTTTCTTTTTTTTTCAAAAACATCATCACCTTTTTTCATTACCAGGAAGAAATTCAGAAAAAGCGCTCCCGTCGTGCAGTGAAGTTCCAACGAGCTATCACTGGTGCCTCTCTTGCCGAGATTATGGCTAAGAGGAATCAGAAGCCTGAGGTGCGCAAGGCTCAACGTGAGCAAGCAATCAGGTGAGAATTAACTATGTTTGAAAAGTAAAGTTGTTTTTCTGTTACGAAATACTGCAGATGCTGGAACTCTGGAATGTGAACAAAGTGCTGGAAAAACCCAAGAGGCCAGGCAGCTTCTGTGGGAAGAAACAAAGCTAATGTTTCAGTTCAATCCCTTTTTCAGCAGAATGATTCTTCCTTTTTGTTTTTTTGTTCATGTATTAGAGTTTCCTGTTTGTAAGTTACTAGTTGCATGCACTATAATACAAATACTTTGAGATTTTTGCAGCCTATGTGTATTTTTCTTAAATTTGACAAATTTATATCCAGTTGGTTCATCATAATATCATAACATACTGATGTTTTTACTTACATTTATGTTTTGTATGGGATCCAGAATTCTTCCAATACTAATAGTAGGGGTAAAGTTATGTAACTTTTTTTTAATCCACAGGGCTGCCAAAGAGGCTAAGAAGGCCAAAGCTGCAACAAAGAAAGTCAGTGCAGCTACAACTAAGGTAATGAAACTGGTGCAATTCTTTAAGTTAGTGTTTTTGGAAGTTCATTCTTTCTTTAAAGACATTCAAACTAAACAGCAATAAATATGAATTTAAATTGTGATGCCTATAAAATATAATTACTAGCTCAAGTGTTAACTTGACTATGATGTCTTGGCCTTTTTCCAGGACAAACAATTGTGTGCACATTATTTTAAGTTTAAAAAGACAGAAAGAGCAACTAGTGATTAGGTGTTGATATTCATATCTGGTAATACTGCAGTTACACTTATAAACAATCTTTGTTTATTATGAAGGTCTAAGTAGAATTATAGAATCTCTACAGTGCAGGCATTTGGCCCATTGAGTCTGCACCAAACCTCTGAGGAATATCCAACGCAGACCTGCAATTAAAAATTGTAGACATTTTAGGGTGGAAGTTGTTTATCTTCCCAATTATTTGGAACAAGGCAAATTTGTAATAATGTTTGGTCTCCTCTTTTTATAAATGGATTATAAATCCTGGAAGTTAGACAAATTAGCTTAATGTCAGTGATAGGAAAGTGACAGAAGTGATAGGTAGGTAGGGGTAATGCAGTAGTCTGTTTTTGAATTTTCAAAAGCTTTCAATACGGTATTGCTGAGTAGATTATACCTCCGGTCATGAAGGATAGCTCACCTCTGCAAAACGTGTTTGTTATATACATTTAAATGACAGTCAACTTGACACCATCCATGACAAAGTAGCCAACATTGTGTATTGCCTAGAAATGCATTGCATTAACTTTGGCAAGTTAAACTGACAACCAAAGTAAAAGGAATAGTCAGGCGTTAAAAATCGTTAATCATAGAGATGTGGTGTTCTGTAAGAATTGCTTCCCACTGTTTAACTAAATTCCACCTTTGGGATCAGAAGTACAATTGGAGTGTTTTCAGTTGATTCCAAAATAGGGGGCGTGTGAATACAGAGGACAATTAGGATAAAATCTAGAAAGGCATACGTGTACTTGGAAAACAAACTTCAATGTACATGTATTGCAGAGCATTTTATTGTCACAGTGATGTACAGCACACAAACGGACCCTTCGGTCCAACTCGTCCCTGCTGACTAGATATCCTAAATAAATCTAGTCCCACTTACCAGCATTTGGCCCATGTCTGTCCTAAACCCATCCTATTCATATGCCCATCCAGATGTCTTTTAAATGTTGTAATTGTACCAGCCTCCTCCACTTCCTCTGGCAGCACATTGCATACACGCACCACCTTCTGCGTGAAAAAGTTGCCCTTTTAGATCCCTTTTTTTAAAATCTTTCTCCCCTTGCCTTAATCTGTGCCTTCTAGTTTTGGACTCTTTTTTCCCCACCCCCGCACCCTGGAGAAAAGACCTTGTCTATTTACCCTGTCTATGCCTGTCATGATTTTTATAAACCTCTAACGTTACCCATCTGCCTCTGACACGGCAGGGAAAATAGCCCCAGCCTATCCAGCCCCTCCCTATAGCTCAAACCTTCCAACCCTGGCAACATCTTCATAAATCTTTTCTGAACCTTTTCACAACATTCTTCCTATAGGAGGGCGACCAGAATTGCATACAGTATCCTAAAAGTGGCCTAACCAATGTCCTGTACAGCTACAACGTGACCTCCCAACTCCTACACTCAATGCATTGGCCAGTAAAGGCAAGCATACCAAATGCCTTCTTCACTATCCTGTCAACTTGGGATTCCACTTTCAAGGAACTGTTAACCTGCACTCCAAGGTCTTTGTTCAGCAACACTCCCCAGGACCTTACCCTTAAGTGTGTGAGTCCTGCCCTAATTTGCCTTTCCAAAATGCAGCACCTCACATTTATCTAAATTAAACTCCATCTTCCATTCCTCGTCCAATCGCCCATCTGATCATGATCCTGTTGTACTCTGATTTTGCTAAGAATAATCAGGACACCACATCTCATCGACTGAAAGTGTCTAAATAGTGTAGCTAAATGAGATCTGAGGTTACAGGTCCAAAACTTGTCGTGTCACTAGAACTAGGAGGCAGAGCCTCAAAATAAGGGGGAGTAGGTTTAGGACTGAGTTGAGGAGGAACTTGTTTACCCAAAGGGTTTGAATCTGGAATTCACTGCCCAGTGAAGCAGTTGAGGCTACTTTTGAATGTCTTTTAAGGAAAAGACAGATTTTTGAAAAGTGAAGGAATGAAGGGTTATGGTGAGCTGGTAGGTAGGTAAGTGGAGCTGAGTCCACGAACAGGTCAGTCATAATCTTATTGAATTGCAGAGCAGGCCCAATGGGCCAGATGGCTGCCGCCTTCTCCTGTTTCTTCATCTTATGATGCAACCTGTTAAATCATAAGAGCACTGAAGCTTATTTCTAAATGGGTAAAATTGAAAAGCAGAAGAAGTTATATTAAGCTTGTAAAGACTTTTGTTAAATCAAACATGGTGTATCATAAATGCTTCTGGTCTCCATCATAAAAAGAAGAATGTAAAGGCATTGGTCAAGTTAGCCCCATCTGGAAAGACAATTTTTTTCTGTCAGAATGAGAAGGCTAAGGGTACTTGATACTCTGAAAGGTTTCGATAGGTGGGCTCAATCTTTACATTTAGTGAGAAACCAGAGCTAAAGTGAAAATCACTAATGTTTCAAAAAAGGAATTCTGGAAATGCTTCTTTAATAGTGGTTAGAATGTGAAACTCTGCCATAAGGGGTGGTTGAAGTAAACAGCATGGATGCATTTAAAGGAAGGCTACGTGGAGTGGGGCAAAAGAATTCAGTTAGATGAAGGATAGATTGGTTGCAGCTAAATGACCAATGTCTGTGCTGTAAATGCTTTATAATTTTGTAAATGGTGTACATTTTAATAATCTTGCATAATTTTCACTTCATGTTTTTATATTTCTAGGCTACTCAAAAGGCAGCACCCAAACAGAAGTTTGCTAAGCCAGTGAAGTCTCAGGCACCACGTGTTGGTGGAAAACGTTAACTATCTAACTGTATCTGTATAATAAAACCTGAATAAGATTTACTGATTTCCATGCCTCATCAATTCATACAAAAGTCAGATTTAGAGTTAAATAGTAGGCATTGTGTGAATATCTTTGCATGATGTTCACTGCATTGGACTTGTCTTGCAGCAGTCTTGAGAGCTTTTGCAAATGGGTACTTGCACTGGAAGTCATTGCATAGAAATCAGAAATAAGTCCAGCAGTCTTTTTTAATTCTGACCTTTAATGAGTACTAATTTAATTCTCATCAAGAACTGGGGATTAAAGCAGAAATCTTGATGTTCTCTACATCTCAGCTCAATATCAACATCCTTCAGACTTCTAAGGATACAGCTTGTTTCAGGAAGTTGAGGAATTTAAAATGAGCATAATGATGTGACATGGTACTGATCATTTAGGATTATGATGAAAAATTAAGAGTTGCAAATCTTTGGAATCCCTTATTTTGGAGCATCGTGAATGTTCCCATCAAATACTTTAAGGATGAGGTAAACAGATTTCTAATTTTGGGGAAATGGAAATGATGAGTCACTTTTGAGATGATGAGCCTGCAGCCAGTAAATCCATTTCTGATGGTTTCATATGGCTTGTCTTTGGTAAGGCTGAACAGGCCAAACCTTAAGACTTGACTCTACCCTAAGGGCTGGTAAAGCTGCCATTTGTTGTGGATTGTTTCTGGGGTGGTATCTGTTGCCAAGCTACTTGATCATCTTGACTAAGTGTTCAACTCATCCTTTAACAGAGCTACCCTATCTCCTTTTGTTTGTGCTATCTTGTTACAAATTCTGAGGGGCTGTGATCCCACTGTAGTTCAGATGAAAATCAACTTTTTCCCAATTCTGGTACCGGAGCTCCATAAATCACAATCTGTTTCTCTGGCACCAATTTTTGATCCATGTGATCGGACATAATTGAACTAATGCCAGTTTGCTTGTAGCTGAGGTAGTATTCAAGAGTTTACCTTTGGTTTTACTTTTCAGTTTAGCCCAGAGATGCTGATGCTCCATCAACAGAATCTCTTGGTCAAGGTGGATGTTAACAACATAGGACTATGAGAATTGGATTTCCTCTTCCACTACACATTCTCTGTTAAGACGTCTTTACCCCAGCACTGAGCTGGAAACAGAGCCTTCTGGATCTGTGCAGACTGTGAAGAATTGTGTGTACCAAACTTGCTGTCCATTATTACAACTGCATTCCCCATAAATGGACTGCATCATGTGCTTTGGTCAGTTTGCTCATCCTCCCTGCAGTGCTTGCTGTCATCCTTTAAATTTCAAGAACTCAAAACTTAATTCAAAAGCTACAGCTCTTTCAGTGCCACCTTCTAAATCCCCATACCTGTATTGCTCTTGAGGATATTACTGTATGTGATGGAAATAAATTAGAGCCTCTACCATCACTATCCATAGCTTCAGGCTACAACATGAGTGAATGCTGCCATAGTAACTAACTCATTTGGCTGGATGGGCATTATGGTTCAGATTGATGCCAACAGCATGGGGTTTGACTTCATGTTCCAACTGTGCTGGCCAAGGAAGAGATGTGGATGTGTGTTGGACCTGTATTTTGGCCAGAGAACTTGAAGCACCAATGAAATGTCTTTGAACAATGTTTACTAACATAGACTGGAATATGCAGAACAACATAACTGCTTGGTATTGCTTTATCTGCTATAAAATCCTGTATGTCCAAACAAGGTATTAACTAGGATTGTGACTGTAACTTAAACTTTGCTTTTTGTCTATCTGGTGACCCCAGTGGAGATAACCAAAGCAGAGATGATTTGTGGGTTTTTTCTCTTTATTTTACCCGCATATCCCCATCAAAGAAGACCCACCCTTGACTTTCTCATTTTAATAACTAAAGTCACATCTCTAACTGTGTTTCCTTAAATGTTGCATCCCAAATCCATGCTCATCTCTAATAAAAACCAAAAGAACTGCAGATGCCATGAGTCAGGAACAAAAACAAAGTTGTTGGAAAAGCTCAGCAGGTCTGGCAGCATCTGTGAAGAAGAAAAAGTTACTGTTTCCAGTCCGGTAACCCTCAAACTACTTTTCTTCTTCACAGATGCTGCCAGACCTGCTGAGCTTTTCCAGCAACTGTTTTGGTTCCATGCTCATCTCTCTTGTTTTCTACCCCCTTGAAACAGGGTTCAGACCCTGCCACATCACTGGAATAGATTTTCATCAAAGTTTAAAAATTACTGACTGAATGTAGCCTCTGCATTATCCCTTTGAATTTTTCTTGAACCACCAACTATTACGTATTTGGCCGTTTAACAATTCACTGTGGATCCTTTTATCTCAACTCTACTTGCATATCTGATCCTCATATCACTTTCTGAGCATTTAAAGTGTTTAGGTCATCCCTGAATATTCTCAATTACTAAGCATTTATAGTGCACTTAATTCCAGATTCATAACCCTCTTTAGAAATTTCTCCATGCCTCACTCCTAAATGTTAAAACCCCTTGTCCTGTGATTATCCCTGCAATTTCAATATTCTCCAGCCAGCAGAAATGTTCTTTCAGCACCCACATTGTCAAGATTCCTGAATCTTTTATTCTTAAATTAAGATTTTCAGTGCCTTTAAATGTTTCTAATCAGAATCATTCCACTAAATTTCAGAGATTACATGCCCCCATCTACTTAATCTTACTTAATGGAACAATGCATTAATGTCTGAACCTCCATTTCCAACCCTTCAAGAGCAAGTGAGGCATGGAGACCAGCTACACAACACTCCTACAAAATTAAAGAATTGTGGGTGCTGGAGACCAAAACAAATAAAAATGGAAATTGCTGGAGAGATTCAGCAGGTCTGTGGAGAGAACAATTAATGTGTTGAGTCCAGTGACTTCAACAACTGTCCAGTGGATTTATCTAATGTCATGAAAAACCAAATCTACAGTCACTGTACTATCCTCAAACCCTAATAAATTTATCAAACACAACTTAGTTTTTGTTAGAGATAACAAGGTGTAGAGCTGGATGAACACAGCAGGCCAAGCAGCATCATAGGAACAGGAAGGCTGATGTTTCGGGCCTAGACCCTTATTGGCTCTGCCTAATTATGTAGGCCTTTGGGATTTGGCTGTTTGAGCTTTTGAGCCTGCTTATTCGTGCAATTAGTTCATGGTTATTTGGTTTTGATTTCATTTTCATTTTCCTTTAGCACTCTAACTAATGATTGCCTTGTTTATTAAAATATGGTTTAGGATTTTCTAAGTGACCTGTTAGCACTTAATGATAGATTCTGGCATTTTCCTTATTTGTGTCCACCTAACAAGCCTGGGGTAATCCTGCTTTTTCACTCCTTGCTTTCTTGAATAATATATTACATTTGCAATGTGCTCTAAACATGCCATAATCTAGAGTTTGCGAAGATCTCAACCAGTGCATCCAGTATCTTTCCACCTATCACTTTTAGAATTCTAGTGTGTGATCCACTAACCCCAGAAGAATGATGGTTATTGTCTCTTTAATTCCTTTGGTGCTTTTTTAGTACTATGCATTATGTTGCTCACTCTCATTAGATACTTGCTTCCTCACAATTTTGGCATGCTTTTGTTTTGTCTTCCAAAATGAAGGCAGACACAAACGTTTATTTAAAATCTTTGCTTATTCCCAATAACTTCTTTCCTCTCAGCCTTTAAAGAACTTTTGCTACTTGTTTCCCTTATACATATTTGTAAAAGCTTTAATGTTTTTGTTTTATTTGCTTGTTAATATTTCAGGTAGCAAAAGGAGAAAATACTCTCCCAAGCCTCAGGTTTACAAGTCTTCTCAAAACAGTATAAACCTTATTTAATCTAGTAATATTACTAACCTTTTCAGTTAGTCACGGATAAATTATACAACTTTAAACTGTTTTTGATGTATATTTAAGATCATCACACCTCTTAATTTACTTTCCCAATCTGACTGAGTCAACTTTCCTCCTGTATGTAATGGTTTCTTTTTTATTTTAATACTCCAGTTTCAAGCATATGCATATCACACTTGTATTAAATGGTTACTGTTTCCTGAAGATTTCTCACTGACATTATTAATTAAACCTGATCCATTTCGCAAGATAAGATCTAAAAGCTTTCTCCCTGGGTGATTGCACGACACATTCTTCTAGGAAATTAACTTGAAATGTTTTTTAAAGATCATTCCTGGGATGTGAGCTGCACTGGCCGGCTCAGCATTTATTATCTTTCCCCAGTTGCAATTTCCCAATCTGCCTGAGCCAACTTCCCTCATATGTATGTAATTGTCTTTTTTTTTATTTTAATACTTCACTTTCAAACATTTGTATACCACTCTTGATTTAAATGGTTACACTTTCCCAGAGGATTCCTTACTGTGAGAACATTAATTAATTCTGTTCGATTTCACAAAACAAGATTTAAGATCCAATTTAGGCTCTATCCTATCATTTACTCCCTAACCCATCCCCCGCCCCTTTTCTCTGCATGTAAACTGACGTTTTCCCAGCCACCGTCAGTTCTGAGGAAGGGTCACTGGACCCGAAAGGTTAACTTTGTTTTCTCCTTCACGGATGCTGCCAGAACTGCTGAGCTTTTCCAGCAACTTTGTTTTTGTTCCTGATTTACAGCTTCCACAGTTCTTTCGGTTTTTATTAAGATTTAAGATCCCTTCTTCCCGGTTGATTCCATGATGTATTCTTCCAGGAAATTATCTTGAATTTTTAAAATAAATCATCATGGGATGTGGGATGTGGGCTGCACTGGCTGGCTCAGCATTTATTACATCTCCCTCATTGCCCTTGAGAAGGTAGTGATAAGCTGCCTTGAATTACTTGGTTTTGAAGATGCTGTCTGGGGAGCCGAAATGAATTTCTACATTGTGTCTTGTAGATGATACATAGTCCTGCTTCTGAGTTTCAGTGAATGTTTGTGGATATGGTACCAAACAGGTGGGTTGCTTTGTCCTGAATGGTATCAAGCTTCTTGAATGTTGTTGGAGTTGCATTCATCCAGGCAAGTGAGGAGTATTCCATCACACTC